TCTGAAAATTTTAGTATTAAACCAACAGGATGCCGAAATTGTCTCACTCTGATAATTCCAATTTTGTGCCTACAGGTTATTGACTGCGCTGGGGCAGGAAGTTGTGAAGGCGGTGAACCGGGTGGAGTATACAAGTTTGCTAAGGAGTACGGTATACCGCATGAAACTTGCAATAATTACCAGGCTCGAGATGGAGGTTCGTTTTCTCAGTAAACCTAATAAAATTCCGTTGTAGAAGCACAAGTGTTAGTCCCCGACTCAATAAAGACTCATCATTCTTTCATCTTCTACTGAAATTCATCTTGAAGGTTTAACGCTCTCCCAATTACAGTGTGTAACCCACAGAATCGATGCGGATCGTGTTGGCCAGGAGAGTGCTATTCAATCCAAAACTACACGGTATATAAAGTAAAAGAATACGGCCGAGTTTCTGGGATCAATAAAATGAAAGCCGAGATATTCCACAACGGGCCAATTGCGTTAGCTTTCTTTCATAAACCTGTTGAACTTCTGTAAAAATGATCTTTTGAGACAAAGGCTCTGCAGTACACTTTACGTGTTAAACAGTTCTTCTAATTTTGTTTCCAATACGAGAACTGTTTCCGTTGGTTTTCAAGTGTTGAAGTTAGCAATTTAAGTGGCATTTTGTTCTTAAGATGTGGTGTCGCTGCGACAAAGGCTTTTGAGGATTATGCTGGTGGGATTTACAAAGAAAGCACACATGAACCAATTGACCATATAATATCTGTCCATGGCTGGGGTGTCGATCACGATTCCGGAGTACCTTACTGGATTGGAAGAAATAGCTGGGGTACTCCTTGGGTAAGTTTTTGTTTTACTTTCTTTAGCTACTCTCAAAGCACTTTTTATTCCTCCTTAGGAGCATCCTTACTGCAGTTACAAGATCCCTGTAAATGGTGCGGCGATATATAAAAAAATTAACTACCAACTGTCCTGTTTTGAACTATGCTTGCAACAAAACACCCATATGAGGTTTTGCAGGGAGAAAATGGGTGGTTCCGCGTAGTTACTTCTGAATATAAAGATGGTGGTTCGAAATATAATCTCAAAATAGAGGAGGACTGTGTTTGGGCTGACCCACTAATAGAGGATTAAAATTAGCTGTTTGTACAAATTAAAAAATCAATTAATTTTGGAAACTGACTTGGCGGCTTGTTATGCGCTATGTATAAAAGACTTCCGTGGTAACTGGAGCAACATTATCACTATGTGCTACGCTTCCTGCCCATAACCGAAACACGAAAAGAAGCCAGTTTAAATCTCCCGTGTTCACATTCAAAGATAAAACTCTAGAGTTCTGATGTGAAAAACGAGTTTTGTTCTATAACAATTTGTCCATAATACTTGGAAATCACGTGAGACCCTTCCAATGTTTTTAACAGTGAAGTCAATTCTTCGAAATAAAAACTGTTCGATCTCTCTATTGCTAAAACTGTAATACTTCATAGTGACCAGCTGTTTTCTACCTTAACAGCCAAACCTGCTGGCTTTTTAAGGCTAGATTGGTTTATATTAAAGGTGCAGAACCTGTGCTCCCAGTCGTTATATGGCTTTTGACTGAATCGTTCCAAGGCAGTTGCTCGAGTGTTCCTTTAGGGCATGGTGAGTTCCTCGGTTTAAGCCTGCAGTTCAGGCAAATTCAAATTAGTGAAGCCGTCCAAACTGCCTTTATCGACGCTTTCCCGCAGAAAAAACAAGTATTTCTTTCAAGTAAATGAATGGTACTCGTTCACGTAAAAGGGGTTTATTCAAAACAAGGTGCTATTAATGTTGAGCAACCACCCTGTAGAGCTATTCTACGCAAGACCGTCCAGACGCGCATTCACTCGCCCTTTTTAATCCCACCATTAAGAAGTTTGAAAACCTGCCGATTAACATCTTAAACTTTAGTGATTTATCCGGAAATAAATACCGCAATCGCATGACTTTGAAGGCCAAGTTAGAAAGACGTATCTTGTAGCAGGTCGTTAAAAAAAAAAAACTCAGCTCTGAAAAACGTAAAAACGGTCAATTTCCTATTGGTATCTGCCGCAGTGAAGGTCTATCTCCCAACAAGAAACTGTATTTGAGAAATCGCAGATAAAGAACATTTAATGTAATCAGAATGATACAGAAGAGGTTTGTTAAGAAAACTGTTGCAACTATTGCCAACACAGTATTTCGAAAAACTCATCAGATCCTCCATTTCTTTTATGGGTTATACAGCAACAGATATAACAAATACGGACGAGGTAGGTATTGCAGATAAGAGAAAAAAGAAAGCTCGTATTACCTCAAAACTTGTTTAAACTTCAACTAGAACGTTGCAAGTAATAGCTTTCGGCAGTAACAAAAAACGACCAAAGAAGTGGTACTAGTTACTTCAGTCAAGTCACATTTAATAAAGAATTACTTCTCCATAGCTGTTTTAGCTGGCCAGTTAAAAAAAATTTAAAAAGAGATCAATAAGTACTACAAAATGCCTGATGAACTTAAAGTTACTATCCTACATTTTCTCGTAAAACATTTCATATCCACAGTCTTTACAAGTCTTCTTATACTCGTCCCTTTTCTTGTCATAAGACTCATCACCAAACTTGTGGACATGTAATTTCGACCGCTCTGCTTTCTGACCCATCGTTCCGCGCACCTAAATAAAGTAAATTCTGACTCAGGTACTTCTCCAACAGTATCCTCGAGTGAAATAAAATCGCCTTATTCCCAAAAACACGAAGTGAAAGTTCTCAAGGCAGATAAAGAATCATGTAGGCTAACAAAATCAACAACACTAATTACTCCTCCTACTGAATGTGAAACACATATTCCCACTAACAAGCGAATTAGACAAGCTTTAAGCGACCAACTAAAGTGCAAAATTTGTAGCTCCAGAAAGCAGGTATTACCTAAACCAATATAAAGAATATTGGAAAAAGTTATCCAGAAAACTCTGAACACTAAAAGTATTTCAGTCATAAATTATAAAATGGACTACATATTTGTTTAATAAGAGCATAAAACAAAATAAACCTGTGCACGCATCACTTTGATTTTCTTCTCAAACCGCTTCTCTGCTAATTCCTCCTTTTGTGCAGCCTTCGATTTCTTCACAGCTTCAAAATTTTCCCAAGATTCATAAAGTTCCAAACACCTTTCTTCCAGCTAAAAATGTGCATGAACTTTATCAGTGGAAATGCAATATTACAGCAGTGAACTCATATCCGATAAACCTTCCGTTAAATAAGAA